CTTACATTAATCAAAGAACATGTATTAGGTCATCTGCTACTCAAATTGGTTCGTACAGTTGTCAGGGAAGCAGATGTAACATTGGACTTACATTAATCAAAGAACATCTATTAGGTCATCTGCTACTCAAATTGGTTCGTACAGTTGTCAGGGAAGCAGATGTAACATTGGTTCGTACAGTTGTCAGAGGAAGCAGATGTAACATTGGCCTTACATTAATCAAAGAACATGTATTAGGTCATCTGCTACTCAAATTGGTTCGTACAGTTGTCAGGGAAGCAGATGTAACATTGGACTTACATTAATCAAATAACATCTATGAGGGGACCTAAATCAACATATGCTGTGAATAGCCATTTCACCTGTACATCTAAATGTTTAGTTTACTGTATTATTTGTTACAATTGTGACCAAATCTACACAGGAGAAATCAGCCGATTGCTTGCTGAACGTACACGAGAACACTTACGTAGTATCTCGATTAAATATCAAGATAAACCTGTAACTTGGCACTTCAGCACAGCTGATCTTTCTCTTGAGCACTTTAAAGTACTTGCCTTACATTATGCCCCCTCTAACATCAATAAAAGAACCACTATCAAAAAGAAATAATTTGTAAATTGGGTTGTTTAAGTCCTTTGGGTATTAATGAACAGTTCAGATTTTTATAATTTGAATACCCTTCTTTTATTATGTTAAAATGTTTAAGTTATCTCTTTCTTTGCTGTGTAAAGTTGTTCTATATTTCTAATAATTTTTAATACTGTTTTTTAATCTATCTCGTAGTTCTGTTTTGTATATTGTTTAATTCTCATAGTTCTATCTCGTAGTTCTGTTTTGTATATTGTTTAATTCTCATAGTTCTATCTCATAGTTCTGTTTTGTATATCGTTTAATTCTCATAGTTGTGTTTTGTATATCGTTTAATTCTCATAGTTGTGTTTTGTATATCGTTTAATTCTCGTAGTTCTATCTCATAGTTGTGTTTTGTATATCGTTTAATTCTCATAGTTGTGTTTTGTATATCGTTTAATTCTCGTAGTTCTGTCTCATAGTTCTGTTTTGTATACTGTTTAATTCTCGTAGTTCTATCTCGTAGTTCTGTTTTGTATATTGTTTAATTCTCATAGTTCTATCTAGTAGTCGAGTTTTTGTAATTGTAATTGTCATTAACGGACAAGCTTGTTTCTGGCTTGAAAACTAGCATTTGCTAGAAATGTCACCAAGTTAATAAATTATTACTATAGTTTTTAAAGGTGATTTTTTTTTTCTCTAAAAGTCTGATTTATTTTATCACCTTTGCAATTTTCTACTTATTATCAACTGAACTCTTATGTCATAGTCTTACTCAGTACTGTTGTGTGGTAAAGTCTTACTCAGTACTGTTGTGTGGTAAAGTCTTATTCAGTATTCTTGTGTGGTAAAGTCTTACTCAGTACTGTTGTGTGGTAGAGTCTTACTCGGTACTGTTGTGTGGTAGAGTCCTACTCGGTACTGTTGTGTGGTAGAGTCCTACTCAGTACTGTTGTGTGGTAGAGTCCTACTCGGTACTGTTGTGTGGTAGAGTCCTACTCGGTACTGTTGTGTGGTAGAGTCCTACTCGGTACTGTTGTGTGGTAGAGTCCTACTCGGTACTGTTGTGTGGTAGAGTCCTACTCGGTACTGTTGTGTGGTAGAGTCCTACTCGGTACTGTTGTGTGGTAGAGTCCTACTCGGTACGTTGTGTGGTAGAGTCCTACTCAGCAGACTTAAACTAAAGTGGATGATTCACGTTAAGTTTTGATTTTTTTTTCAGTAAGTTATTCTGATCAAAATTAAATGTTAAGAATAATCATAAACTCGTTAAGTTTCATTGAGGACAGTTTTATGTTGTAATATTCACGTGTTTTTTAACCTAAAAACTTCTGATATAATGTAATATAATTCTGAATGTAAAAGCTTATATTTGATTGTATTTGTTGAACTCAACATTAAGTTATATTTGATACTTTTTTCCCTCAGGATGTACAGTACAAGATCAAAGAACAGTTTCGTTCCTTGGCAGATGAGTACATGACCAGTGAACTCTCCAAGAATGCCCAGGTGAGTACATGACAAGTGAACTCGCCAAGAATGCCCAGGTGTGTACATGTCAAGTGAACTAGCCAAGAATGTCCAGGTGAGTACTATGACCAGTAGAACTCGACAAGAATGTCCAGGTGAGTACTTGACCAGTGAACTAGCCAAGAATGTCCAGGTGTGTACATGACCAGTGAACTCTCCAAGAATGCCCAGGTGAGTACATGACCAGTGAACTCGCCAAGAATGCCCAGGTGTGTACATGACCAGTGAACTCGCCAAGAATGCCCAGGTGTGTACATGACCAGTAAACTCGACAAGAATGTCCAGGTGAGTACATGACCAGTAACTCGACAAGAATGTCCAGGTGAGTACATGACCAGTGAACTCGACAAGAATGTCCAGGTGAGTACATGACCAGTGAACTAGCCAAGAATGTCCAGGTGAGTACATGACCAGTGAACTCGACAAGAATGTCCAGGTGAGTACATGACCAGTGAACTCGGCAAGAATGTCCAGGTGAGTACATGACCAGTGAACTCGGCAAGAATGTCCAGGTGAGTACATGACCAGTGAACTCGGCAAGAATGTCCAGGTGAGTACATGACCAGTGAACTCGCCAAGAATGTCCAGGTGAGTACATGACCAGTGAACTTGGCAAGAATGCCTAGGTGAGTACACGACCAGTGAACTCGGCAAGAATGCCTGGGAGAGTACACGGCCACCGAACTCGGCAAGAATGTCCAGGTTAGTACATGACCAGTGAACTCGGCAAGAATGTCCAGGTGAGTACATGACCACTGAACTCGACAAGAATGCCCAGGTGAGTACATGACCAGTGAACTCGGCAAGAATGCCCAGGTGAGTACACGCCCACTGAACTTGACAAGAATGCCCAGGTGAGTATGTAACCAGTGAACTCTCCAAAAACGCCCAGTGAGGTTGAAAATCGCTGAAGATCTGGTAGGATAATTACACTTTACACTTTGATCTGATTTTAAATATTCTATTTTTATGAGAAGAATCCTACCATCTATAAAATAATTAATTAACTTAGAGCATCTAAGTATATTTTTGCTTGAAAACACTTCCATAAAATTGTTATATACAAACTGTATTTGTCTTCTTCAAGGAATTAGTTCCAATAAACACAGAAGTCCAGTTCACTGTGGCAAAAGAACAGATGAAACAGATTAATAGCATTGTCAGCCGACTTCGAGATGCAATGGAAAGAAGTAAAGAAAGAGGTAAAGAAGAAGGATCTGATGTTCTCTTGTTTGGAAAAGAACTAAGGTAATGTTGAGAATATAATTTATTTTTAATTAACTTTTGTATTAGTGAGAGAGTTGTATCCATGACCATCACCATCCTTTTGTCATTCAGAGAACTTTTTCTAACATAACACAAAAGTTCTTTATAATGTTTTAACCCATATTATCAAATATTCGATTTCAAACCTGTTCTTTCCAGTTCTTTGGCCAATAGTGCAAGTGCTGACTCAGATTGGGGATCGGGAGGGAACGAGACGTGGGACTTCCTGAGGAAAGGATTGAAATCTCTACTTCCAATGTTCACTTCGGTTTCTGTTGCTCATATGAACCAGGTATTTAACTTGTAGATGGATTTTGTTTGAAATACTCTTAAACAGCCTTTTGTCTTAAGGAACAAATTTGAAGAGATTTTACATATAGTACTAACTTTAAAATATGTTACAAGAAGATGCAAATGGACTTGACATAGGACAGTATAAAAGTATAAGCAAACCAAATGCTAAGTATCTAATTGATAACTATGCTCAACCCAAGACATAATTTAATTTAAAATTTGTTTTTAACTCATCATATATTTGACTTGTATAATTGTTTTTTTTGTCTTGAGAAGTATTGGAAAATTTCCCTGGACACCAAACAGCATGTTTTACTTTGTCTTGAGAAGTATTTAAAAATTTCCCCAGACACCAAACAGCATGTTTTACTTAGTCTTGAGAAGTATTTAAAAATTTCCCTGGACACCAAACAGCATGTTTTACTTTGTCTTGAGAAGTATTTAAAAATTTCCCTGGACACCAAACAGCATGTTTTACTTTGTACTGATTGTTATTATAATAATTTAAATAAAGAAGTAGTTGACTTTTCTTTATTACTCGGATGATAAAGATTTTCTTGCATCGAGTTATTAGAAATTGTTGAGCTTCCAAACAGACTTGAATTATAAGCCAGATGATTGAAAGTCAGACATTTTTGGGACTTAGATTAACAAGACATTTCTTTAAAGTGGATAACATTTGTAGTATTTTAAGAATAGTGTGATGTCTGTCTGTGTGTCTTGGTTTGAATATAGTATCTGAAGTATTTTTAATTTTTAGTTTTGTTTTATTTTGTCTGGTTTTATGTTTTCAGTTGCTTTTGTTGTATTTTTTTTTAATTTGATAGTCACAACGAGAAGAGGAAGAAATTGTTGAAAATTTAAATTTATTTTTGGATCTTCTTTCAGCATATAAGGTAATTTGTGTTTGTTATTTTGTGATTTTTAATAGATTAATACACAAATTACCTTATATTTCTAATTTGTTATTTTGTGATTGTTAATAGAGTAGTGTTAGAAATATAAGGTAATTTGTGTTTGTTATTTTGTGATTGTTAATAGAGTAGTGTTAGAAATATAAGGTAATTTGTGTTTGTTATTTTGTGATTGTTAATAGACTAGTATTAGAAATATAAGGTAATTTGTGTTTGTTATTTTGTGATTGTTAATAGACTAGTATTAGAAATATAAGGTAATTT